CTCCGAAACGCTGGTATGTACCTACTAATCCACATGACGTCACAACCCAGAAAAAAACACCCGACATCTGCATCGCTGTGAGAACCTCAATTTCGCATGTTTACAGATGCATGTCACGTGACTACTGTTATCACCCACCTGCCCTCTGCACACACGACAATCTGGTCTCTATTCACACAGAACAGACTCGTAATAACAAAATAATGCAAACACAACGATGACCGTCCCATGCCATTCTAAATTTTAGCGATTCCGCAAAGTTTCCGCTGCGTAGAAACCTGGGCCAAGCCCACTCTCAAAACATTACCAATCAAGTGATGAGTTTGCTGACGTAGCATTTGTCGATCAGTAACTAGAAATAAAGAAACAAATTGTAACACCACCTATACCTAGGTAATTTCAAAGTAAAACTAAGCAGAGTGCAGACACAAATTTAGTGGTGTAATAGCACGAATTCTGAGTGAGGCATTAATACATCTTTGGGAGTAATTAATAGGCAATACCACCGCTTCCTACATCTGAGCTCACCACGGTAATGGTTTCCTCCGCTAACATCCGAATTTCATCTGCGCAGGTCGCAGGTCACCATAATGTGAAAGGACTGTCGCATGAACCTCAGCGCAAGATGTTTTTCCCTAATCCTCCTGGGTGCGAAATCCTCGGAGTACATGCGTACGGGAGAAATTTTACAGGAAAAAAGTGAGAAAACTCAACTGACGCATTAAATGCAGAATAAGACTCCCGAGAAGAAGAAACACGTTTTTATGGAAGTGAAGTTATGCACGTCTAAATCCTGATAACTATTTGAAAGGACAACACACGACCGGCCGGGTGACGCATTCATATTCACCTTCAGTGGAAAGTGGACGGACGGACAGACAGAGAAAGTTTTTGCAGCTTTAAGTTGCGACCGAACCTAAGAACCGGTGCAATTCGTTGAAACGACAAGCTGGCTTGCTAAAAACGATGAATACTCGTTACAGTACAGTCCCGACTCTCCGACCTAACCGCGAAAGATTTGTCGGATAGGGGTCTATTTATATAGGAACGTAAAGATAACGACACGAGCCCTTGCCGATTTTTCAGAAAATATTATTCAACCTTTGTCAATGGAACTGTTTATATTGACTCCGAGCTCGTCCGTTCCACGAACGAGTCTCGCCCAACTTACGTCTCCAACGATATTTTTCCTAAACAGTTCCATTGATAAACGTTGAATAATATTTTCTGAAAAATCGGCAAGGGCTCGTGTCGTTATCTTTAGGTTCCTATATAAATAGAACCTTATGCGGTGTATTAATGAAAAAGACGACGGTAAATATCAACTCGATTTATAACACAATTTACTGAATTACTAAATTACGAACGAAATATAATATGACATTATATGAAAAAAATTTCACAAATAAGAATAATATTAACTTGATGTATAAATCTGTAAACGAATGAGTTTACTTTAAAGAAATTAGTAATAGGTAATTACTTCTGGTCCTCCTTCCTTTTCTTTGCAAGGCCACGCCAGTGCCTGAACAGAACAGTAGTACGTTTGTAGCGGTAGTCTCGTTTGTAAGCAAATGCGAACTTTACTGAATTCAATGTCTCATCATGAATCACGGTAGGTCGGATAAAACGATACGTCAGATCTTACAAACGTTCTATAATCCAAAAATAAAACTGTCACAGCAAAATTTGTGTCCTGAAACTCACGAACTTGATTAGCCCTATCCACGGCGCATGCGCTGTTGGGCTCGACATATTAAAGTTATCTGTAACTTTCCAGTTTGGACCCTGACATTATTATAATCAGTGACGCGCTTATGATTATACTAAGTACGATGCCCTATGAAACATACCTCCAAAGTTCTGCTACTAACTTTTATACTGCACGTGGAACACGTTCGATTAAAGATAGCTGAAATAGCGACTGTACTCGAGGCAAGAATCGATACGTACTGCGTTCGAATGTGTGATCTGCAACCGTTACAACTAAGATCCCGGTTTGCGGGACATGAAATTAATTCCAATGAAAACGATAACAGTAATGCCAATAAACTAAAAAGTCAAACTCTTCTATAGTAAATCCTGGACTAAATGAAAAACTGCCAAATTCACATCTCCTTCCCGAGTGTGTACAGGAACTCCGGTCTAGACCTTCATACAATAAACGGAAACTGCATTACGTGGAAACGGGAATCTAATATCAAGAATGCAAAATGAAAATTGCGCTAAAAGAGAAATGAGAAACAAGAATTCCACGTAAAACAAACTACTTCGATATTTATTGTTCTTTCCTCGTAATTCTGTTCATTATCAAAGAAGTCACAAGTGGGAAATAATTAAGTCTGACTGCCGACAAACACATGCAGAATGATTTCATCGATAACTGCAAAATATAAAATAGAAAGAAAACACAAACTACATGAAAACAGCAGCGCATACCCTACATATTCTGCAATAGATAACATAGGCTTCAATCAATCAGTCATACTGGCTTAAATCCTTCTTACCAGGAATTAATTTTCTGTTTGGAACTGGTGTCTTAAAATGCATTGGGTAAGCACCTTGCAATACGTGTCTACAAGCCTAGTCTGGAACGGGAAACTGACCAGGTTTTTTAAAAAAAATGGGAGTGAAACTTCTGGGCTTTATAATTTCACGCTTCGACATGACACTGTACAGAATACACTTAAAAGATAAATTTCAGTGTTAGTAATCGACCACAGACTATCGTTAGGCACGAACTTAGGTGGACCTGTATAAGAACATTAGGATATTAAACCGCCTTGATTATCGAGGCAGGAAACATCTCTGATACGTCGGTAAAATTCTACCAGACTAGATGGAGCGAAGACCGCAGAAAACAGCCATCTTCACACTTCCGCCGTGAGAACCCGACATCTCACCTAGTCTAAGATCCATCTGTTAACAGATTTTCTTCGTAAAAACCAAAAGAAACGATGCCCATATTCAGCCAGAAATTCGACGTCTGTTAATGGCCTAAAAGCGATTTCCAACTTTAGATTCATCTCTTGGAAAAACTGTTTGGGGAAAAAAAAGTTGCAAGTATCCATTAAAAAATACTTTGTGTCTTACATTATATCTGCGTTAGGCCCAGATTCCGAGAAAGTTCCAGTTTCTAACAACACCTGATCGGTATGAGAAACACAGGAAGAAGCCGTGTTCTAGCTCGTACGAACTTCCTGCCATCTGGCTAATGTCCGATCGATTCAGAACGCACTGCATTATCGCGATAGCAAACACATTTTAACGGCACCCCAACTGGTCACTTGTTCATTATTATTTTACATAGTAAACGCTGTGTTACCAATCAATACAATCTACTTGTTCCCTGGTAAAACATTCAAAATTAGTCTTCGTTACGTAAGTACAAATGACCTTAGGCGGAATGCAGACTTCGCTTGTGGCCTATGCAACTATTGCCAGGGACAACCATGAAAATCTGCAGATATCTGATATCAAGGCCACACAGCTGGCTGCCTGCGAGCCTACAAACACGCATGCGCAACTCGCAAAACGTACGCCCCTTACCTCAGCTTCTCGCAGCAAAAACATGCGTCTTAATAACAACAAAATATTATCGTTACAAAAACGAGCACTAAATGTTCCCTTTTCCCCATGCATGCTACATAACCGATCCATCTCATCCTCTTGCATTTCATCACAATAATCCATAAAGCGTTCAAATTATGAAACTTCTTGTTGAGCAATCTGTTTCACGACCATGTTCTTGTTATGTCTGACATCTTTCGAGGCATAAAATATTCCTTCAGCGGGGCTAGTTTTTAATGTGACTGTGTTAGCCTACGTCTTGAGGCACACAGCACGCAGGAAGACAAAAGTATTCTAAACCGAGTGGTACGTTCTTCAATTCTTCGTGAATATAATTCTGATGTTACTTAAGAAACACAATGAGTTTCAGTCTAATCACCTAGAGACGTAAAAATATTTTCTATAAAAAGAGAGTTCTTCTAACAGCCTTAAACACGTGGCTCCAGCAATACTGACATCGCTTTATAAGAATCTTCCAGCAGCCCTGGGTTTGACTTCATATTTAGAAAATCTATCTGATTCTGTTGAGTTACAACACATTTCAAACTGTTATAGACGGAGTACTTACGTCGTGAAAATCAATGCAGATTAAAATAACACAAGGAAAGGTCAAAACAACCCGCAACGCCAAAATTTCATTTCCCATAAAACGTAATACGGACAACAAACGAGCTTAATAAACATCTGTCGACACCTAACTGCCGGGTCACTCGCTGAAAACGTAATACTAAATTTAATACTTAACATTAAAATTAAAAACAGTTTAAAGTTGCAAATTTACCTGCCCAATGGGCTAACTAAACAGCAGAAGCTCGATCAATAATTTGGGGGTAACACGCCGTGGTTCTTCGCGTTTGCGCCGACCCAACACTGGTAACACTAGACCGACTTATTTTGGGACCAGAGTTATGGATGCAAAGACGAAAATCACTCAAAACACGGTTACTCAATACGACGAATCTGGTGATTAGTCGTACAAACAAACGTCCATTTACAAAAATAATAATCTAAAGAAAGAATAGGTACATTCATCAGAGTTATCTACGAAATAAAAGCATAAACATGATACGAGCCAATAGCATTAATATATGGTTTGTGTTATGCATGACTAACGTCTTATCAGCAATAAGGGCAGGTGGCATGATGCTTTATCCTGCAAGTGCTACCGCCATTAGGCAGCTTTTAGAATTACCTCACATATGGGCGAAGTGAAGGTCTAAATAACGTCACTGTTTTTATAATTGTTGTGAAATATGACATTTTTTCTCCCTAAATTGAAAGGGATGGTAAAGGAATACGGACAAAAGAGGTACTGAAAGTTCAATGGGCCTTTTCCAATGGAAATTATTATTTAAAATCTAATGAGTCTTACTTATATGATTAAATTATGACTTAATAAACTACATTTGAAGTGAAATGGGGGAAAATACCTTTCAGAAACGTCGTACATACGCAGCCTCGTACCGATAGACCTACCTGAAATAAAAACAAAAGACAGCTTAAAATGCGAACACACAATCAAACGGCAACTTATTTTAAAAATGACTTTTCCGAGTTAGCATCCTGATCATACATTTGAAAACACGAACACAGTAAATAGATAAAGATATATAATTCATGTCTGTGCGTGTCGGGGGGGGGGCGTTAAGGGAGGCATGAGAAAAAGAGAGAAATCGCAGCCCAAATGATCTCATCAGGAACTTAAGAACCAAAATAATGACAGTGATATTAAGGAATGCTTAGAAAATCAGACAGTTCCTATTTAGAAAGTAAGAGTCACATGAAAATTATATTCTCGCTAAGTATGTAAGGCTATTTAAATTAAAATACCACTGCGAGTGACAGCTTGTCTTTCTTGTCCACTTCGGATGGCAAAATAGTCTAGGTTTTCCTTAGTCACAAATATCTACACAATAATAGGAAGTGACCAGTTCATGAGTCGATTATTATTAAAAATATGCGTTATCACACATTAATTTCGAATTAAAAAAATCCAAAAACATGTCAAAATATCACAAAGAAAGAAATAACTGTCACAGTTCAGTAAATAGTGTATTATGCTTTAGGGCGAAATTCTACCTCGAACGACGAACTACATTAGACTAGTCATATTTCGGACTCTCCAATACAGTAGGCTTCAGCTTCGTATTTTACGCGCTAATGATGAGGTTAGAGACAATTTCGGCAAGAAATTCTTCATAAAACATATCCTGTATCATTCAGCATCATTACTCCTGTCCAAAACGGATTTACTGTTTCCAGAACTCTGAAACCGACGATGGCGCCATTACCAACAATGCAATCAATAGACACTCCCCTCCCAGGCGCCGCCAGCAGCCCTGCCATCATCTAGATGCCATCTTTCCCGGAAATTCTAGTTCAGACCAGCTCAGCTCATTCCAGGGACAATGGAACAGTTACGAAATAAACCCTTCCCTTGATTTCTTAATCAGTGCCATCCACAGACCAACGTGGATCCTTAGGTAAATATATCATGCCGCTTAATTACCAACTCGTCTAAATAATATTTAAGAATACAGTCGGTACCGCAAAGAAAACACCACACTTCATCATTACAAAGACCCAACATGATAACGCTGTTTAAGGAAATAACAGCTGTTTACAGTGAGAATACGAAGCCCACAAATACAAAACGCAGATTTATTGATTCTTAAAACAAGTGGTGGTGCACATAGTTACCACTCGGTTTTAGATGATTAATGACAGCTAAAGAAACAAACCTTTAACATATTCTGTTATAATGTGTGATTTACCCCAACCCATTTAGCAATTATTCATAGTATAAAACAATAAGGCAGTGATAATGGATGAAATATAAATTACATTACTCCTAAAGCATCTTAATACCTTCCACTACATCTTTCAGTCTGTCGTCCAGAACGTGGCAGAGCGATTTATAACACAATTATGCTAAGAATTTACTAAATGTTTGCTGTACACAGTAATTACACGTCAGTATTTATTTCCTTGATTACTCTGCTGCATAAATTTCCACTTCTATTACTGAAAAAAAATAATATAATTTAATCGGAGATGTACTAGTATAAAAATATACCGCTTTCGAACTTCGCTAAGTGATAAAGAGATCGGTAATACATTTCCTTCGTCACGGAGCACACTAGTACTGGAATATATTTCTGTGTAATGACAGTACGAAGTTATTAATACAACTGCCTTACAACAATTACAAGACGGAATGGGCCTACAGAACATGAATGGAAATAAATTAATTGTGGAAATAAATATTTCTGTGTAGTAAGTAATATATGCAGACAAGCCTACTGTGCCTGCCTAAAAAAATTCTGACGATGGTTCGTTATAATCTGTGAAATTGCTTCCTTGGACTTTGTCCTCACTCTGAATAATAATAAAATAACACAAAGTTTTGGAAGTTGCATTCTACTTCCAACTTAATATAAAAAAAATGGGAAGAGGGTTTCTGTCCCTTTGCCCCCTTCTTACCTGTACACGTAAGCAGAATCCATGATTTACACGGAGTACAGAGACCAAGGAAGCAATTTCAGAAATCAACAAAATGATTATTAATTTCAGAATTCTAAACAAATTTCCGGACTCAGTGAGAATTGCTACTGGGTTCAAACCGTATGAAACAACACTCCCTCTATCTTCAGGCCACCAACGTGTTCCCACGTTTCGACATAACTGGGGCAAATATTTTCTGCACTCTAATTGATAACTCTGAGAAATTAATTTACAAATAATTTTGCATGATATAAAGGGAAATGTATTGTGGATGCTGAAGATGGTCCATTTTCTATCTCCGCATCTAGAGAACATACGACCCTATTGCCTGGGAGTCCGCAGACAGACTTAGCTCGCCAGATGTACAATGTACAGGTCGATAATACGTCACAGCAATATTGACTGAATATTAGGCGTACGTAACTCGGTCGACGTGCTGAGGTAAATCCGGGGAGGCTGCGCGTGTCTCTAAGTGGCTTATTTCATTACAAATGATACGTTTGTCAGAATGCTTATTTCTGCACGAATGTGGGGTAAAAGGTACTCGAGGTGGAATGAAAATACTCAGTACCTTTACGGTAATATAAAATCCCTGTACTTGATTAAGCACCTCATCGTGAAGACGTATGTGGGCGCGGAGGTACAGATCCACATATTCCTTACATTGGCATTTTTATGAAGGTGAGTGGTAAGATTCACCCCAAAGGGAAAAGCCAATGTTACCCACTGGAGGGAACATTGGGTCGGTCTGTTAGCTGTGGCGAAAAGAATCTTCATTGGGATTCGAACCCCCGGCTGTTTAGTTACATTGATGAATGAACTATTTCAACTTTTCTTCTTGACGTATAATTCTGGTGGAGGACCTTAAATTCCGTTATATATTAAAAATTCATACACAGTTTATGACGGCATGTAATAATGATCAGTGTTAATTAATGCCAATGACACGGCTTAAACTGCCTCTGGCAAATCAGAACACAAGATATGGTTTCGTATTTGAATTTACCGAAACATCACAACCAGTCAAACTCAGCCGATAAAACTCTTCCCTTCACTACAGTAAGCACAGAAATCGCAAACAAATTCCAAATTCAATAACATCGACCCATTCTCAAACGAATCCAAAAGAAAGGAAAACCCTCCATCATGCATTGTGCGGCTGATTATCAGATGCTCAAGAAATATCCAACTCGTCCTCACCATGTTCATACAGATCCGTCACTGAACACGAACAAAAAAGTCAACTCTACATAGTGCAACTCTCTCACTTCTGTATAATTTAAGGTTTTCACAGCGGTGAGTAAGAAGATTTCTGATGTCCAAATATTATTCTTAACATTAATTTCCAAATAGCCACTGAATTTTCTTCCCCTGGTGTCAGAGGCCACGGGTCACGTTCTTACTCATACAAGTCTAAAACTATAAACTGATATTTTTATTTATTCGAATCCTAGACTGCAAACAAAAGACATGTGATTCTGAAACGAGCAGTAGAATGCATTTCAATAATTAAATCTATTCCACATGAATATCATTCTGTAGTACAATTCCAAAGTAATCAAACAATGTCACGTTTAAGATGGTTTATTACGTATAATTGCTACAAATCAGCAAGAAAATAGTGAAAAGGTGACTTCCCTATACCGAGCAATTTCCCACTTTTAAATACCCTAAAGCAGTGGTATCAACCTGGGGTACGCGAACACATCCTACGGGGTACGTGAAATTTAAAAAATATATATTATTTTATGATAAACACTGAATAATCAGTAATGTAATTTATTTACTTTATTTTAGATGTAGATTATATACTATGTATAACACGAATTATACACCAACAACTTTGGGGGTACAAAATTGAAGAGAAATTATATCTGGGGGTACGCGAACCAAAAAGGTTGAATACCACTGCCCTAAAGGATAACCGAACACAGACAAATCTATAAAAACACACAACCTTCATACCTATACACGTGTGTAAGTACAAAAAACTTCATGTTGCCACAAGACAATGATTAAGTACTTTCCAAACACTGGACAGAACAAGCACTTTCAAAACAGTAGGTATGCTGCTCGGTAGGGAACTGAGTGTAAGCATACAGCCTGCTTAAAGCATTCGGTGGTGCAGGTCAAGTTCTGTTCATTCGTTAACAGGTGCGTGGTCTTAAAATTAAGGCTGAAAAAGGTAGGAGGCTTTCGGAGCAACCAAGCATACTGCCATGTTTACTTCACCCTCCAAACTATTCAACCGTTCCTCCAAAACCTAGGGCAGGAAGGTAAAGATCTACAAAGAAAAAGCAGACGACTCCCTGCCCATGGGTAGCCTCTATAGTCTTTCGCTGTGCCTTTCAAGCAGTTCTAAAGGTCTTGGGTAAAATACACCAGGACCGTAAACACGTCCCTAATCCTTCCTCCGAACAGACAAGTGTCTAGTCTCAAGGTCACCCGTAATACGTACGTACAAGCCAGCGGTGGATCCTACGGAACATACCCTGAGGGCATGCGCCCACCCAGTTTCCCAGTAACACACAAACACACGGGACAACAACGAAACAGAAAAAGACGTGTCCGCCTTCTGGTTTGTCGCACCGACAGTCAGCTCCATGAAGCAGAGTCCTTCCTAAGAAGCTAACAGTCGCTCAGTTATTCAAGAAGTTCCCCACATTTTATGGGGCAGCAGGTCCAGATGAACACAGTCCACACCCCCAAACCCTCTTTCCTGAAGAACCATTTTAATATTATCTTTCCACATACGCCCGTCGAGTAGTTTCTCTTCCTTACAGGCTGTCCAACCATCATTTTATTCGCATCCGCGCTATATGCCCGGCCAATCTCACATCGCCCTGATAATGGATGGAGGCAACGAGCACCTATATCAGACAACAGAGCGCAACGTCCCAGAAGGCAGCCATTTCTTTAGTTCTCTTCATTCCCGTCGCAGCCAGACAACGACGCTGCTGCTGCGACC